CTCTTTCTATTTTGAAATCTAAGAGCACTTCTCATTTGAAATGACATTCATATACTTGCATAAAGAAATCAATATTCTTTAAGCAACAATAGTTAATTAATTTATTACTGTCTAATTCAAGCATCGGTACTAATCAATCTGGATTTGTTAGTACTTTACATGATAGTAAAATTGACATATTGAAAATGAGAGAGGTTATCACTCATTAGATCACAATGCATAAGCATCATTTCAGCATTGTGGAGAATGTCAACATGGACTAGTGTTTCTCGAGTTACTATAAGAAGTGACCCCTTCAAAATTTACGAGTTTGAGAAGAAAAAGTTAAAAGCTTTGTTAAAAAAATTGATCGAATTAGCTTGATTACGAATTTGTGGAAGTCCAAGCCACAAAAAATTGAATGTGGTTCTTATGCTCATTTTGTGGATGTTGATTGGAAGTTTCAAAATGGGTATTCAACTTTGTGTTCGTAGTTTCCCAATGAATTCAATTTCCTTTTAGTGGTTTGTGTATGGGCTGAGTTCTTCGGTTGCATTTTCACATTCCATGTACATGGTGATATGATTGGGTAGTTTTGGGTGGTTTTGATGGGGAGCCACACCTATAAATACCCATTTAAGCTAAGGTCCCTAAGCACAAAAAACATTCAAAGCATTTCCACATTTAAGAGAGTTGGAAATTTATTCCATCTAGTGAGATCTTGAGTGCTTAAAAGATCCTAGGCGGTTTGAGTTTTGTGCATCCAAATTCAAAGTGGTCGAAGGTGGTTCACGGTGGTTCACGGTGGTCAATGGTGGTTTGACGGTTTTAACGGTGGTGTAACCATATCCCGAATTTTAACATATGGTTAGATAATTGCTGAAGGTATTTATAAACGATATTTTTCGTTGTGTTTATGTTCGATGTATGCTTACATTTGGTATCATAGCCAAGTTAAATCTCTGTCTTGCAAGTTTTAAAAGTTTGCATGTTTATCAAAATTGATGCTATGGTTTTTAAGTTGTGAAATTCTCAAAATATAATGCAATGTTTATTTTGATTTTAAGATTTTGAGATTTTTTGTTGCAAACTTTGTTTCTAAAATCATTGGATTTATAAATGGTGATTTCTAAAATTAATTATGTTTATAATAATTATATAAAAAATTTAGAAATGTTGTATGCTTTTTTTATATGTGCCTAAATTATAATTATATGTATATAAATTATGTGTTTATTAATAACATACATTTTAGGTGCATGAAACTTTAGTATTATTGCATAGAGGATTTAGCAATAAAACTTTAGGTTATATGTCTAGAGATCAAAATAATTTTATTTAATTAGAGAATTAGCCACAACAACTTTGGTTAAATAAAATTATTTATTACAACAATGATCTCATCATAAATATAGACATAAAATGTTGCATAATGAATTAGCAACAATTTTGAATAAAAATTAGAGTTAATATCTAGCAAATCGATTTTCATAATTTTATTTAGTTAAAGACTAGCCACAACATGTTTAGTTAAATAAAATTACTAAAGTTAAAAATCACATACATAAAGCTTAGTTATTAAATCCTATTACATAATTTACTAAGGTAAAATTATTATATACCTTTACATAGTTACCCACATGAACTATAAAAGTGAATTTAATAATTTTATCAAAGGGATAAAAAAAATTTATCAAAGGGATAAAAATTTTTTTATCATAAGATGAATCTAAACGAATTAAAAATTTAGCCCACTAGTAATTTGTTTTTGTCACTAGATTCATTGTTTACATAATTTGCATTGGTGAATCATGATTTATGTTTGCCTCAAATTTTTTGATTAAGCATGTATGTTCATTATTTCTTGCAGTTTTACAGCCTGTGAATATGTCTAATAATAGAGTAGATATCTTAACCAATGAGAACTTTAAGTTCTGGAAGGATAACATTCTTCTTCAATTAAGGTGTTTGTATATTGATTATGCGATAAGGAAAACTGAGCCACATATCACTGAAACCAGCACTCAAGTTGATCTTACTCTGTATGAAAAATGAAAACGATCTAATCGCCTCAACATTATGTTCATTTAGAGTAAGGTTTCTGCTGATTGTTCGTGGCTCAATTGAGCATTATGAGAATGTGCAAAAACTATTGATGTTTATTAAAAAGCAGTTCAAAACTTCTAAAAAAAATCCTTGGCTAGCACTCTAATCATGAGGTTCACGTCCATGAGGTCACTACTCTGAAAGGATTACATGTTCACATCAATAAGATGTGAGATTTAACAACTCAACTTAGAGCATTAGAGGTTGAAATTTCTGATCATTTCCTGGTGCAATTTATACCGAACACTCTTCCACCTCAGTATAAACCATTTAAGATCTCTTATACCACACATAAAGATAAGTAGTTTATCGATGAACTTTTGACAATGTGTGATCAGGAGGAGGCTAGGCTCATACTTGAAAGGGGAGAGAGTGCACTAACAGTTACTCATGGAAAGTGATTAGTCCAAGCTAATCCAACAGGGAATGCTAAAATCCAACCCCAAGCTGACATTAAGAAAGAGTCCAAGTGTTTTTTTTTGTAAAAAGAAGGGACACCTAAAGAATGACTGTGTCAAGTTTAAGAGTTGGCTTGAAAAGAAAGGTAAATCAATCTCACTTGTTTTCTTTGAGTCAAATATGGTTGATGTTAATTATAACACATGGTAGATTGATTCTGGTTATATAATCCATGTCTCAAATTCCTTACAATGATTAATAAACCTGAGGAAACCAGTGGGAGGTGAGCGATACATCTATTCAGGAAATAAGATGCAATCACATGCGGAAGCTATTGGGATATGTAAATTAGTGCTTAGTAGTAGCTTTGTTTCAATTTTAGAAAAGACTTTTTATATTTCAAGTTTTTCTAGAAATTTAATTTATGTTTTAAGACTTACACCTTTGGGGTATTGTTTTAATTTTTCAAACAATGAATTCAATTTATTTTATTAATCAGAAATTGTTGGAAATGGGATTTTATTTGATGGTATTTACTATTTAAATTTGCAAAATAATGTTATTAATAATGTTATGCACATTCAAACTGGTTCTAAACGTTGCGTTATAAATGAAGATTCCTCTATCTTGCGGCACTGGAGATTGAGACACATCTCCATTGAAAGGATAAAGAGATTAGTAAATGATGAGGTACTTAGTACCTTAGATTTTTCTGATTTTTACACTTTTATAAACTACATTAAGGGTAAGTAGACTAACAAGTCAAAGAAAGGTGCCAAGAGGAGTCCGACCATATAGGAAATCATACATTATGATACATGTTTCCCAAATATAGATGTAAAAGGTCAGAAATACTTCATCACCTTCATAGATGATTACTCAAGATACATGTATCTCTACATGATTCATCATAATAGCGAAACATTAGAAGCCTTTAAGGTTTTCAAGGATTAAGTAGAGAAACAATGCGGTAACTAAATTAAGATTGTGAGAACTGATAGATGTGGTGAGTATTATGGTAGATATATCGAAGATAGGCAAGCACTTGGTCCATTTGCAAAGTTTCTTTAAGATAATGGTATAGTTGCCAATACACCATGCCAGGATCACCTGATCAAAATGGTGTTGCAGACAGAAGAAATTGAACTTTAATGGATATGGTGTGAAGTATGCTTAGTAGCTCTAAGCTACCTATGTCTTTATAGGTTGAAGTTCTCAAAATGATTGTGTATATATTAAAATGAGTTCCAACCAAGGATGTCCCAAAGACACCTTTTGAGTTATTCAAAGGTTGGAAACCGAGTTTACGACATATACACGTATGAAGATGCTTATATGAAGTAAAAATTTATAACCCAAAAGAAAAGAAACTGGATCCGAGAACCATTAGTGGGTATTTCATTGGATATGTCGAAAGGTCTAAAGGATACATATTTTATTGTCCATCACATATCACTAGAATTATGGAATCAAGAAATGTAAAGTTTCTTAAGTATGACTCAATCAGTGGGAATGATATATCTCAAGACTCAATTCATGTAAATCAATATTCCACTTCAAGTGAGAGATTGATTATTACACAAAACATCCCTAAAGTACAACCGGTGTTGAACAACCAATCAATAAAATTCCACAAGCTGCTGAAAAATATCCTAGTAGATCAAGTTGTTCAAGAAACTTCAAAAATTATTGAATAACCAGTTAAACAACATGATCCATAAGAAAATGTTGATTCAAAGTTAACGATATCTACTAGAGAAAGAAAATCAACAATTTCTAGTGACTGCATTGAGTATCTACAAGATTCTGACTTTAATGTTGGAACTGAAAATGATATTGAGTCACTTTCACAAGCCATGAGCTGCAATGAATCAGAATTATGGTACAATGCTATGGAAGATGAGATTAATTCCATAAAAAGAAACAATATTTTGGATCTTGTAACGTTGCATGATAGTGTAAAAGCCATTGGATGTAAATTGGTTTTTAAAACAAAAAGAGATTCAATAGGCAACACTGAAAGACATAAAGCAAGACTTGTTACGAAAAAATTCACTAGCGAGAAGGAATCAATTACACTTAGACTTTTATTCCAATATCTAAGAAAGATTCCTTGCACATCGTGTTAGCATTAATACCTCCTTTTGATCTTGAGTTACAATAAATGGATGTGAAAATTGCCTTTCGCAATGGTGATCTAGAGGAAGATCTATACATGAAACAACCTAAAGGATTCTCCTCTAGTGATGGTGAACACTAGGTATGCAAGCCGAAGAGATCTATATATGGATTGAAACGAGCCTCTTTAAAGTGGTATATATTTAAAATTCCATGAAGTTATCTCTTCATTTGGTTTTGTTGAGAACATCATGGATCAATGTATATATCAAAAGGTAAGTGTGAGTAAAATTTGTTTCCTTATTCTATATATGGATGACATTTTACTTGCAACAAATGACAATGGTATGTTACATGAGGTGAAACAATTTCTTTCTAAAAATTTTGATATGAAAGATATGGGTGATTATGTCATTGTCATTAAGATTCATCGTGATATACGTCAAGGTATCTTAGGTATATCTCAAGAAACCTATATCAAAAAAGTTTTAGAAAGATTTCAGATGAAAGATTGTTCACCTAGTATTGCTCCTATTGTAAATGGTGATAAGTTCCATTTGAACCAATGCCCGAAGAACGATTTTGAGAGGGAGAAAATGAAAAACATTACATATGCTTATGTTGTTGGAAGCCTGATGTATTCTCAAGTATGTACAAGACATGACATTGCATTTGTAGTTGAGATGTTGGGAAGATATTAGAGTAGTCTGGGTATTGACCACTAGAAAGCTGCAAAGAAAGTTTTGAGGTATCTGAAAGGGACAAAGGACTACATGCTTACGTACAAACGATCAAATAGTTTGGAGGTGGTTGGATACTCTGATTCAGACTTTGATGGTTGTGTTGATTTACATAAATCAACATCGGGTTACATATTTATGTTTGCTAGTGGAGCTATATCTTGGAGAAGTGTCAAGCAAAGCTTAACTTCTACTTCCATTATAGAGGCTTAGTTTGTTTCATGTTTTGAGGCTACCTCAAATGGAGTATGAATGAAGAGTTTAATTTATGGGTATTAGACTTGTGGACTCGATTTCTAGGTCATTAATGATATATTATGACAATACAATTGTTGTCTTTATGGCTAAGAATAAAAAAAGTGAAAGTCGAAGTAAACACATCGACATTAAGTATCTAGCCATAAGGGAGCATGTTAAAGAAAAGCAAGTGGTCATTGAGCACATTAACACTGAGCATATGTTAGTTGATTCCTTAACTAAAGGCATGGCACCACATAAATTTAAGGATCATATTGTCACACGGGACTTGTTTCCACTTTGTAAATTTTCGTTTTAAAAATGATTTTAATGAAGCTTTATTAAGTTTTATATTTCTCATTTTGTTGTGTACACATTAATTTAATTATTTCGAGAAATATCACTACAGTTTGGACCAAAAATAAACATTGGATTTATTCATTAAGAAATTTGGCTAAAGTGTTGAGATATGGTACATTGTAATACATGGAAGATATTACTCTACTATAAGAGAAAATATCGCTATGATTCGTGCATTATGTTTTGACTTTAAGTACTCATGTTCATTATGAACCAAGTGGGAGAATGTTGGTAGTTTCCTAATAAATTCAGTTTTCTTTTAGTGGTTAGTGCATGGGCTGAGTGCCTCAGTTTCATTTCAACATTCCATGTACATGATGATATGATTGGGTAGTTTTGGGTGGTTTTGATGGGGAACCACACCTATAAATACCCATCTAAGCTAAGGCCCCTAAGCACCAAAAACATTCAAAACATTTCCACATTTAAGAGAGTTGGAAATTTATTCCATCTAGTGAGGTCTTAAATGATTAGAAGATCCTTGACGGTTCGAGTTTTGTGCAGCCAAATTTGAAGTGCTCGAAGGTGGTTCATAGTGGTCAACAGTGGTTTGACGATTTTGACGGTGGTGCAACCATATCCCGAATTTCGACCTACGGTGTATGCAATGGCTAAAAGTATTTATAAATGATCTTTTCCGCTGCGTTTATGCTTGATGTGTGCTTACATTTTGTTCATTTGTCACCTCCAAGAAAAGGTTCTAATATTGTTGATTGCATTTTAACATGTTTAAATGAGTGTGAAATTGCAAACAAAGTAAGTGATCTTAAACTATTTTTTATTTTAACATAGTTATTAATTAGTAGTGTTTTTCTTTTTTGTTGTAATTATATAAGAGTAAAAGATTTTTATTTGTTTCTTTTATATGTTTTCACAATTTCAGTGGACAATGCATCAACAAATGATTCTTGTATTAAGATATTGAAGGACAATTTTGCAACAAGCGGAAGACTTCTTTGGAATGGAAAACTATTTCATGTTCGTTGTTGTGCATATATTCTTAAAATAATGATAAAACATGGTCTCCAACAAGTGAAAAACATCATTGATAAAGTTCATGACACGGTTGACTTCTTGAATGCAAGTGATGCGCAACTCAAACGATTTGGTAAGCTTGTAGTCAATACAATGTGCAAGATCAAAAATTGATTCTTGAATGTAAGACACGTTGGAATTCAACATATGCCATGTTGGATTGTGCTATCAAGTTTAGAAATGTATTTCCTAGATATGTTTTGCATGATCATTCTTATAAGCATTGTCCTGATGATGATGAGTGAGAAAAAATTGAAAAACTGTTTGAAATTTTGAAAGTGTTTAAAGTCACTACTAACATTATATCAGGCTCTAAATACCCAACTTCTAACATGTTACTTGGAGAGGTGGAAAGAAATAAAGTGTTGGATGAAAAATTTGAGTATGCTGATGATTTTGTTAAAAGTATAGTTGATAACATGAAAGAGAGGTTTCACAAGTATTAGGGTGAATGCAATTTGTTAATTATGACAATAGGTTCAGTGTTAGATCCTAGATTGAAAATGGGGACAACAGAGATTGCATTTCCCAAAATGTTTCCATCACATTTAGTTAAGAGGAACATTAGTAAGGTCAAAGACACCATGTATAAACTTTTTGATGAATATTTGAGGATGTATTCTTCATCTTGTAATGTGAAAGAAAGTGGTGAAAGAAAGTGGAGAATGTGCATTTTCTATGGATGTCCATGAAGACGATGTTACATTTAGTGGTTTGTGTGAGCTTTTGTAAGATGTTTTTAGTGAAAAAATATATGTACCACGTGTAAAATCTGAACTTGATTCATATTTAAATGAAGGGTGCGTCTTTAGTCAAGATGCTAAATTTGATGTCATTGTTTGGTGGAGGGAGAAATCAAACAAATTTCACATTTTATCTAGGAGGACACTAAATATATTGACTATTCCTATTACTACTGTGGCTTTTGAGGCCACATATAGTGCTAAAAGTTGTGTAATAGATCCTTATAGGTATTATTTTCTCCATAAACATTGTAAATGTTGATGTGTGCAGGTGATTGGTGTAGATCCCTTCATTGAGTAAAAATAAAGAATAAGTTAAATGTATTTTCTTATAATAAAGTTTATATATTTTTTAAATATATGTAGACTTATTTGACTTTTTAAATTATAACAAAATAATGAGAAACAACCAAAAGAAATTATTATCCAAATACCTTAGAAAGAATTGATAATATGACGAATTAAAAGGTTTAATATTTAAATTTATTAATCTTATATTTTGTACTCCATATTTCATGCTCTTCTATATAATAATTTATTATTGATAATTATCTTTTACTATGCATGATATTGTGGTTTATGGACATACTGTCATCTTTTGTAAACTTAGACATGTTGTTGGCAATTTTTTTTTTGTAAATTTGGACATGTGGCTACTATCTTTTGTAAACTTGGACATGTCATCTTTTGTAGGTAAACTTGACATTTTGGTGTCATATTTTGTAAGTAAACTTAACATGTTGTTGTCATTTTTTGTAAGTAAACTTAACATGCAGTTTCCATCTTTTGTAAGTAAACTTGATCATGATACTGCTATCTTTTGTAAGTAAAATGTTGTCATGTTCAGTAAATTTAGATATGCAGTCGTATTTGTCATCTTTTATAAATTTAGATGTGTTGTCATATTTTGTAAACTTTTAATACATTTAAACTTCAAAACTTATATTAATTATCCTAAATATCTTGTAATTCTGTTTTTATTTTGGGTTAACTTCATAGTTGATCACTTATGTTTGTGTTTTGTCCACTTTTCCTCACCGATTTCAAAAAAACATAATATATGATCACTTTCGTTTTTATTTAACTAAGATATGCTCACCACGAGTTAACTGTCATTAATAGTTAATAAATTAATTGACGTGGCAATTAAATATTTTGGTATAATAACACATTTAGTCCATGTTATTTACATATTCTCTCAATTTAATCATACTTTTAATAAATTAAAATAAATGTAATTCTCTAATCGAATTACGTCACATGCCATCATTCGGTTCGAGAACTTACTTTATTTACCCTTTGATTGAAAGAAAGCAAAGCAAAACAAATTGAGGCCAAAAGGATTTGAACTTGTGCTACTTGAAAAGCTAAGTATGTACCCAACCATTAAAAAAAGACTAACACTTAATTTAAAATAGACAACATGATGTATATATTTTGTATCTTAGTGTAAAAATATTTAACTTAAATTCATAATATTGTATATATATTAACTTTAAAAATATTTTTATATTAACTTATTAAATATATTTTATTATTAACTTAATTTAAAAATATTTAATTTTAATTTTAATTTAAAAATATATATTCTATGTTAAAATATTTTGAAGTTAAGATAAGAATAAAATATATTTAATAATTTAAAGTAATCATATAATATATTTACTAAATTAAGATAAAAATATATACTTTGAAAAGTTAAAATAATAATAAAATATATTTTTAAAAGTTTAGATAAGAATAATATATATATTTTTAAAATAAAATAAAAATAAAATATTTTTAAATTAATTTAATAATAAAATATATTTCATAAGTTAATATAAAGAAATATTTCTTTAAGTTAATATATATAAAAAATTATTAACTTATTTATACACTAAGATATAAAATATATACATCATGTTGTTTTATCAAACCAAGCATTGGTCTTGGCTTAATGGTTTGGTATATTTTCTGTTTCCAAATATATCTAGGTTCAAATCCCTTTAGACCCAATTTGCTTTGTTTTATATTCTTTCAAGAGAGTGACACATTGGTGGAAAATACATTAAATTTATTTTAATTTATTAAAAGTATGATTAAATTGAGAGAATATGTAAATGACAGAGATCAAATGTGTAATTTTAATAAAATATCGCGTCACCTAATCTGTTGACTGTTAACGACAGTTAACACGTAGTGACCGCATCTTAAATAAATAAAAACGAAAATCACCATATCTTAATTAAATAAAAACGAAAGTGACCATATATTATATTTTTTTAAAATAAGTGAGGAAAAGTGGACAAAACACAAACATAAATGATAACCATGTAGTTAACCCTTTTATTTTTTAGATTTTTATAGATCATACATTCATATTATAATGTATTGTTGTTGGTTGATTAAAAGGACAATTATTTATATATCTGTTGACACTCGTTTTTTCGTCCTAAATATTATTAATATTATTAATACTATTTATTTTTATTTCTTGCAGGCTTTACAAATCCAAGCTCAATCGGGCCCGAACTACAAAACAATTAATTACAACCCGACTCAATTGGAGCTCAAGACCCGACTCGGTTCAAGTCATCTCAAGCCCCATGTGAAGCACACTAACCGAGCAGCAGCCCGTTCCCATGCTCCATAACGCCCCAAGCACCATGTCTGAGCCATCAAGTTGCCAAACATCGTCATTGCATACATCAACAGCAACCAAATCCTCAATAGACAAAACAAAATCAGACCAAATCCACTAAACATTTTTAAATCACAAAAAATCTCAAGAAATTTGATATCGTGCCCTACCACTGCTCAGTGGAAAACCCACCAAAGATCCATTAAATGGATGCA